TTCCTCTAGGACCCACATTCTTTCGTTACCACAATAGTACTTTAACAACACTCCTCTGAAATATTAAACAGATATTGAAGACTTTATTGACACATTAGTTTTTAATTTAGTTTTAAATTCCAAACAACAAGAAATATTTTTTGTGAGTAACAGGACAGGAGGAAATGGCCTCAAGCTGTGCCAGTAGAGGGTCAGGTTGGACATCAGGAGGAATTTCTTCATGGAAAGGGTGGTCAGGCACTGGAATATTGCTGGGAAGAATATTTCTAGGTCTACGTGCCTTTAAAAATCTATTTGTTATTTCTCTGTGCTGAATTTGTAATTTAAAAGGGGTTTTTTTTGTCCAATTTTCTTGGAATTTTGGCAGTCTTATGCCCCAGCCCTGGAAGTGCTCAAGGCCATGTTGGTCTAGTGGAAGGTGTCCCTGCCCATGGGTGGAATGAGATGGTCTTTAAGGTCCCTTCCAACTCAAACCACTCTATGATTCCATGGAAAATGGAATAATAGGAGCAAGTAACAACATAATCACTATAAAGCACTGGAAAAGTGTCCTGATTACAGAGATCATCTGACATTCCTCAGTGCAGGTTTGGAAAAAGCTTTATTGAGTTTTAACATTATTTCTTGGTATCATTTATTGGGTTTTAATATTATTTATTGGTATAATTTTTCATCATTCCAGCTATTTCACATTTAGGTCACCAAACACTGATATTTTTAATTAAAACTGTTAATTAAATTCTTAATAATAAATGTGGCATATGTGGAAATGTGTTGATGCTTCAGCAGGTTGTACTAGGATATAAAAAAAAAGAAAGTATTTCATAATTCTCTGATGAATAGAAATTCTGATTTTCAGCTTTAATCAATATTTGCATTTTTTAAAAAATCCTTCTTAAATTTATCTTAGAGTTGTATGGGGATTCTTTTCCCAGGTAAAATAGTCAAATATTCAAGATATAAATTTTTCAGCTTCCTTGTGTTGGATTTGATGCCATTTAAGGTATTTTCCTTTAAAAAAAAAAATCTATTAACTATAAAAATGTACTCAATTTTAGAAATTGGTTTTATGTCAAGGATTTAAATGGGTTTAATTGAGATTTATGCCACTGAAGGTGAAAAAAGGACTGAGAGAATGTTTGTAGAAGGATGTAATAGGCTGAATTCTCTGGATGGGGAGTTACAGTCCAAACCCTGCCCTATTCAAAAGAGGATGAAGCATTTTAACAGCACAGTTCTTGGGGTAGAACATCTTCTTGGGGTAGAACAAATCAGTCTGGAGGGTTTATTAATTCCTTCAGCCATAACAGGAGATTTTTCATGTTATGGAGGGAGCACGTGAATAATTTAAGCTCCAAACTTGTGATTGGATGAAGGTAAAATGAATCCAAAGCCATCAGTCTTCAGCCCACTATCTCCTATTGCTTTGTTTCAGCAACAGACTATTGTAATTTCATAGAATCATGGAATCATTCAGGTTGGAAAAGCCCTCCAGGATCATCAGCTCCCCCCTGTGCCTGATGCCCACCTTGTCCCCCTGCCCGGAGCACTCAGTGCCATGTCCAGTCCCAGCTTGGACACCTCCAGGGCTGGGGGCTCCAAACCTCCCTGAGCAGCCCCTTCCAGTGCCTGACCACCCTTTCCAGGGAGAAATTCCTCCTGATGTCCAACCTGACCCTCCCCTGGCACAGCTTGAGGTTGTTTCCTCTTGTCCTTCAGAGAAAACCCTCAGAGTTTCAGTTTCCACTTCAGTTTGTTTGTGTCACCCTACTGCAAATCCGTTTTTGGCAGAAAGCCCTTGAAAGCAAGTTCACATGAACCAGAGATCTCACTGGCTTGCTCTGAGTGCTCTTCCTTCACTCCCCTTGAGAAGAAGCATATGCAGCAGGGGATGGAGCCTGAAGATGACACAGTATCACATTCCAGGAATGTCACAAGTCTACACCGAGGGAAGGTGTTAAATGTCTTGCTCCAGCTCTGTCACTGCTGGAGCACTTGGTTCATGATTCACACTGTGAGCGTGTAACCGGATCACTAAACCCCCATAAAGGAGCTCTTACAGAGATTCAAAGCTTTGAGGCAGGAATTAGTGTTTGTGTTTTGTTGAACAATGAATTTCTCTGTTGTTTCAAACCCTGGTCCTCTGTCCGTGCACAAAGTGGAACCAAGTCCTACCAACGTGAGCAGGAAGCTGCTCTTGCTGCCTTGATTTCAAGGGGTTTCCTCCTAATCTACCTCCTGGCACACAAGAAGGAATCCAGCTCTACAAATGTACCTTTTCAGCAGACCTTTCATCTGCTAAATCTGACCTTTAACTTCAGTTTTTCCACTTTCTAATATCTCTGTGTTGAATGACAGGTTTATGATTAGGGGACAACAGAAACGTTAGGGGAAATATAAGCTTTGCCTCTAACCTTTGGTATCCTGGTACCAAGAGGCCTTCAGACCTTCAGACATTCTGTGACCCATTTTAGAGGTGAAATCCCATCTAAAATTCTCAATAAACTTTGAATAAGCATTGAGTTTGCAAAAAAATCTTCAAAATGTCTGTGAACCCTGGGATATCTTCCCATCCCTAATTGGGATTCAGTAGTTCCTTCACTGTGAAACGTGTGATAAATGCCAAAGCAGCAAAAGCACGTTCAGCTCAGTGTGAAGTTAAAGGCATGTTTGCCTTTAGACCTGTGAATTTAATATACAAATTCCTAATCCATCCCTATTCTTTCTGCCTTGACATCGTTTGTCTGAGTAAAAAATCAAGAGATTTTATTTTTTTTCCCCCTTTTTTCTCCCCCCATACACTATTAGCTTGTCTGGTGGGAACAAAGGCACAGCTTGTATGTGAAGGGGAAAAAAACAGAAATCTTCTTTTGCTACCCTTAAGTGTGGGTTTTTTAATAACACAGTTTTGAAAGTTCAATGTCAGCAGCATTTAGTCTCGAGATGATCAAGAATTCAAACAATTTGTGACACCTATTTGCATATGTAACAGACAGATTGTCATTTCATCTGTCCCAACAAAGGAAATGAAAGATTTGAACACTAATTTGTATTTTTTATATGCAAGCGAAAAATCTTTTGTGGCGCTCCCATTAACACACAGAAAATGAAGACCTGAAGTTTTTGTAGTCTTTTATTCACCTTTTTTCTTCTTTGTTCAAGTCAAGGAATATTGTGAGAATAAAATGAGAACCTCAAAGGCTGATCTCCAGATACTTCAAGTTTTGTTATCCCTCATTCACCTTGTTAGAGGCAGAGAGAAATAAAGAGAAAGACACAGATTCTCTTGTGTGGACGCCCTTTCTGAAGGAAGAAGACCCCTTTCCTGCAGATGTTTTTCTGGCCATTTATCCTCCTGAAGCAGAATATATGGTCAAAGACAGAGAGTCTTCCCAAAATATTCAGGAACAAAAGGTTACAGAAGGGCCAGGTTCAAACACAGGCTCTGTTAGTGGTGGAAGAGATTTGACCTTGAGTATTCCACATCTCAGGTAAGAAAAACATCAGGTTTTCAGAAACCTCGGGGCATCCAGACAGAGAGAGAGAAAAACCCAAACAACTAAAACACAGGCCTTGCTGATAAAAGTCTCTCTATTCCTTTTTTATATATTTCCCCTGTATTTTAGGACCATGTGCAAAAGTTGGAAATGGGGGTGCACTTCGAAGCTACCACAAAGCAACCATGACCAGTTCCATAAATCTTGCTTACCTTGAAACAAAGAGACATTTAGTTTGAGAAACTATGGGAAAAATGCTTCTCTGCTATTTTGAGCTTGAAAACTCTCCCAACATTGAACTTTCAAAACCGTGTTATTAAAAAAACAATACTTAAGGGTAGCAAAGGAAGATTTCTATTTTTTTTTATGAAAGTGAAAAATCTTTTGCGGTGCTCCCATTAATACGGAGAAAATGAAGACCTGGCCTTGAACACTTCCAGGGATGGGGCAACCTGAACCAGGGCCTCACCACCTGGGAATCATCCACCCCTTTCCCTACTTTTGCCCTTGTTGGATCTCTCATTTGCCAGGGGAAGCTGCTTTCCCCTTGAATCGTGGTGTGATGGGGCACTTGACACTTGTTATCTGTGCCTGACTTTCACCCTTGAAACCTCCAGCCATTAAAGTTATGTGTTACAGGGGGGTCTGTGGAGCCTTTTGGAGATAAGAGTGAGATAAGCTGCTAACTACCCAGCAGATTAATGGTCTGAGCTCTTGGAAAAAACAGCTATTCCGAAATGCCAGCTGATTTGCAGGCAATCTTGGTGCCACTCTTCGTTTTAAAGTATTTAGCAAATTTACTACTTGAGGGCTAAGTGCTTCTAGCAGAGAAAGTTCTTACTGTTTCTTGATACATTTTGCAAACATTTAGGGAAAAGAATTATTTCAGGTTTGTTTGTTTGGGGTTTTTTTGTCTCCTTTTAGGAGCCTGAATAACCCCCCTTTGTGCTGTGAGCAGCCACTCCATAACCCAGCTCTGCTCAAGGAATGCTGCACATGGAGCCAGTTCTGCTCAGTTCCACCAAACCCCTGCAGCTCAACCCTCTGGATTCTCGTCTCTCTTCCCCACTTCCACCTGCACCCCAAGGTGCCTCAGCAGTGGCCACAGCCTTCATTAACTAATGACAAAGGAGACAGTTTTATTTTATTTCCAGAAGGAAAGAACCCCCCAAAACCTTCCCCAGCTTGTTCTCTTGCAGACAAAACTTCCTGAAGTGATGTGGAAACCTGAGAGAGGAAGGGTTCCCGAACCTTTGCTTTTCCTTTGGCTTCAGAAGATAATGATGGAGATAGGAAAGTACCCATTGCTGTAATTGTACAAAGGTGGGGTTTCTAACCATCTGCAGGTGGAAATCTCTGGGGGAAAAGGGAGGATAAACTCTACTTCATCCCACAGCCCCGGTGCACCTCTCAATTAAGGGCAAAAAGGAAGTTCAGCCCTATTAAAAGTTGGGAAAGAGGGTGGATGGTGGGGTTTGGTTTCTTAAATACTTGATTGTTTGCATTTGCAGCCTGGAGTGTTCCTGGAAGGGCAGTGGCTGGGGCTCTCCTGCTGAGAGCAGAAGTGCTGATGGGTGAGTAGCTTGGCTGGGGTTTTGTTTGGTTTTTGGGGGGGCTATTTTAAGAAGACTTTCAGTTCTGGACTGGCAGACGTGGTTGCTGGTGAATTGGAGGCTGTGTTTTGTATTCCTGTGTGCTTTTCATATGCTGTTCTCCAAGTGATTGGGTAACAATTCTGATTCCCCTGAGGTTAAAAACTATGACATTCTCCTTTTTAAGGTAATGAGAGAAAACGTAGCCACAGGAAGCAGCATCCTGGTTATTTTCTCTTGGGATTAATGACCCCAATGACAATAACTGGAAAAGCAAAGCAGGCAGGAATTAAAATTGTATAAGCAATAAAGGCTTAGGTTACCTTTACCTCTGAATTCCTGCCTTCTCTGGAACTCCTTATGTAACATCTCTAAAACTTTCATTGTATGCTCCAAGTTTCGTGGGTAGAATGTTTCCAACCAGAATATGACCCTGTTATGTGAGTTCTGCTCTGCCTTGTACCCTTTGCATGTGTAAGCAAAGTGGAGTATGTTGTTTAACTGAGTCTGAAAATCAGAGATAATATTACCTGACCCAGCTGCCACCAGCATAAAACACTATGGGAAGCATCTACTGAAAAAAATGGGGTGCTTGCTAAAGAGTGTTCACTTTGAATTGTAACAACCTTAAAATAATTGTGTGCGTTGTTCTCTCAGGTGTACGTTTCTATGGACCTAAAGCACTGCAAATCTTGAGGATTTATTTGCATTCCGAGCTGCCTTTAACTCTGCCTGCTCTGCTCGGTGTAGGAAAGGCAGCTTTAGGGCTGTTGGTTTTGCCAGGAGAACTTGCACCCTTGCTTTGTGAGATCAGATTGTTTCCTTCCCCGTGGTGGCTGCGGTTGTGAAGCAGAAATTATTAGAAGGGTTTTTCCCCTCGTGCCTGGGAGAGCTCAGGGGCTGCTCTGATCTTGGAAGGAAATGATGATGCAACAAGACAGGTCCCTGTTGCTCTGAAATGGTGAGCTGGTTGAGGAGCCTCTGGTGAGCACAAGGGTTGGCAACAGAGCTGAGCCTGCAGCAGAGCACTCATGGGTGGTGTCTGTCATGATGGGTCACGGAGGATAAACCAGCTCTGAGCTGTCACAACCTGCCCCAGCCTGGGGTTTGTAGGAAAAGCTGAGCTTTGCTGCCTCCCAGACTAAGCTGCTCCCTGTTTGCTCCAAACTGGGCCTAGATTCGCTCAAAACTCTGAAAAACTCCATCCTTTTTATGCCACTAAATCAAATTTCAATTTGCGAGGAGACCTGACAGCAGCTGAATTTTATCTTGTTTTATATTTGATTTCATCTTAACTTCAAGCTTCTGCTTGCTGCACCATTCAGTTTTGAAAGAACCATCAAATACCTCTTGCAAATAATTCAATAGAGCAGAGCCACATGTGAAAAGATCTCAGCAGACATATTTAACCTTGTGAATCAGATTCATTTCCTACATGTTTAGTGCTTTATGAAAATTCATGTTTTTATCTGCATCTCACAAATTCTTCATTGTATCAAGGCTTTTTTTTTTTTTTCATTGAAAGAAAGCTCAGAAAGCCTGACTGATATTCTAATGAGTTCTTGTGCTGAATGCTGAGCAGCATTAATGGGCAGGCATTCCTTGGAGCTGCTGTTTGACTGGAATGCTGTCAAAATAATAGTGGTTGTTACTCCTGCACCTCCAATTTACTCTCGTTAATGGCGCTTTGGTTGTTTCTGAAATCATCCTTCAAAGATGATTTTAAGTGACATCCGTGTAGGCCTAAAGACCTCAATTGCCTTCTAAATCATATCCACTCATGCTCAGGGATTTAATTAAAATATTTTGAAAGACAGAAAGAGAAGAAAAAAGCTCTGGAAGAGTTAGAAATAAGGGTTGTCCCCAGCCCCAGTTGGCAGCCGTGCTCAGAGACAGGGGACTGCTCATAAATAGGCTGTAATTGCCTTAATGAAGTACATAATCACATGATATTGGGAAAATAGGATGGAGGTGATCTTTAATGGGATGAAAGAGTCTCTGCTGGTTCTAATTACAAGCGACAATTTCCGGGCTCTCGTATCTGTCTTGAAACTTTGAATTTTTGGGTACAGGACTGACATTTGATACCTCTGGGTTTTACTTTTTCATAAAACACACAAGCAGCCTAGTAGGGTTTTACCTCATTTAAACAATCCAAAATTCCATTGCCAAAGCAGATTATTTAGATTTAGAAGGGAAATAAGGGAAAATTAGACAAGTGCTGACTTGATTAGGAATTTGAAGTAGCTCAGACCTTTACTGTCCTATAAATTCAGGTAAAGCATTGACCAGAGTGGGGTTCTTTGTTATTTAAAAGCTATTTAATGGCTATTGAAAAGGAAAACTTAAAAATATGGTTTAGTGGGTGTGGTGGTGTTCAGTAGAAGGCTGGACTTGGTGATCTTGGATGTCTTTTCCAACTTTAATGATTCTTTGAAAGCAAAAGGAGCTCAGATTTAGGACTGGGCTCTTAGTTAACACCTGCTGGGTTAAAAGTAACAAACTCTTGATACTTGTGGCTGTATAAACTCTATTCTTGTGGTGATCAAGCTCAGACTGAATCCCTTCTACTACAGTTGTCCCAAATTGCTGGGAATTTGCATGATTGAGGAGGGAAGAGTTCCTAAGTTATTGTTGCCAGGGGAACTGCCACCTTCCTGCTCACCTGGTGAGAACAAATGTCTCCCTTTGTGCCCAGCAAAGGGAATCTGGGACCACTCCCAGCAGTGGCAGGTTGTGAGAATTCCAAGGGCTGGTTGTGTGAATTCCAGGAATGGGGTAGGATTAATGAAAGGGTTTCCTGAAAGGGAGGTTGCTGGAATATGTTGGCTGCACCTTCCTAGCAGTGATCTGAGCAGGTTTTGTGTCTGTCTAATTATATTTTTTAAACTCCCTGGCGCTATAGATCAGTGTTCATCTGTAAAACATGTCTTTTTTTTTTTCCTTTTTTTTTCCATTTGAGTAGCATTATTCAGTATAAGCCAGCCCAAAGAAATTTATGGTGCTCTCCTGCTTATTTTATAGCTCCTGTCCAGTTGGTTTGAAAATACATCAGGGGTTCTGTTGCAATGTCCACCTTGCATTCACCTCTGATCTTTTCTCTTGCAAAGCTGTCATTTGCTCTGACCCAGTGTATCGACCACTCAACTTGGAGAAGTTCCATGTGTTGATTTAGTGATTCTGGGCAGAGTGAGTTTAGTACCATCTGCCACGAGAGAAATCATGAGATTGTTTCATCTGTAGTTTATTATCATGGAATATCCTGAGCTACGAGAGACTCACAGGGATCATCACTCCAACTCCTGGCCCTGCACAGACACCCCAAATCCCACCCTGTCCCTCAGAGCGTTGTCCAAACCCTCCTGGAGCTCTGGCAGCCTTGGGGCTGTGCCCACTGCCCTGGGGAGCCTGGGCAGTGCCCAAACAGCCTCTGGGGGAAGAACCTTTTCCTGAGATCCAGCCTAAAACCCCTCTGGCACACTTCTAGCCCATGTTCTTCACTTCAAGCCTGTGTTCTCCCTCAAATGTTACATTTACCTTGCTGTGCAGGAATAATGGGAATGGCCTCACTGTGCTTTCAGAAGCAGAGAAGAGAAATTTGAGGTAAACAATAAAATACTTTCTTTCCATATTTAAATGTCACTCCTGAAAGTTATTGGTATTCATCCTTCACCCTATGTGAAGGCAATATCCTTACAAGTTTCCAAGGAAAACACTGATGTTGTATACTGAACTGGATCCACTCTGGAGGGTGTCCCTTTCCTCTGGGAAAGACTTGCCAGCTCCAGCATTCCTTTCCATGTTCTTTTTGCTACTAAGAGAAATTGGTTTAAACTTTAGTGACATGAGAGTTGAACTGTCTCAGCTTGAAGTTCTTAATTTCCCGGTTATGTCTTTGCAAATCTCTGTATTCAGTTAAGTTTTCTTTCCTATCCCTTTACTCGGGTTGGAGTTTTTTGTTTGTTCATTTTGTTTTGAGGTTAAAGACCTTTCATCAGGTTCCTCCTGGTTCCAGTAAATGTAATGGATAGATCCAACAGGCCTAAATGCAGCTTGTCAGGAAGTGACAAAGATCTTCCACCTTGTTGTGGAAATTAGAAACAAAAAAACCCTGAAACCAAAATAACAAACCCCACAACCCCTAAACATTTCCTTCATCCTTTCTTTCCTTAAGGAGACACCTCATTGACATCCCTCTCTGTGTCACAGCATCCACTGGTGGCTGTAGCCTGTAAAAACTCTCTTCTCTCTTATTTGAGAAAGAAATAAGGGAAGAGACAAACCATTTTTCTTTTTTAGTCTCCTCACACTTGCAAGATTTTATCTGCTCCCTTTTTCTTCTCTAATGGTCCTGAGTAGTAAAACTTTCATGATTGTGTTTTTCAGGCACTAACTATTGGTTTAACAGAAGTCCTCACAGGGTATTATATCCCTGAAATATATATTTTAACCCATATCTATATAACATTAATTTTTAAAAAGTTTGGCTGTCTGTCTTATCAGAGAACTGCTTGAAATGAAATAAAAAGAATAAAAGATTCAAGCTTAAGATACAGAACACTTTTTTTTTTTTTGTAGAAAGATGGCACAAAGAAGGATATTAATGTTTGAAGTGATTTTAGCTTTCCTGCACTCTTTGTGTGTCTTTAGCATTCCCTGCTCCCTCTAATCTCCACTGTATCACTCAGCCCTTTGAATCCTTTGTGCTGCACTTTGAGCATCAAAAAGTGCTTTCGATACCCAGAAAAACCTTCACTCTCACACGTTTGCTCTTCAGCAGCACAGTTTTGATACATGGAAAGAGAACAGGAATAAAGAAGTGCAAACAGTGTAAGGAAAGTCAGGAGTGGAGGCAGAAGAAAGGGCTCTAATGAGAAAGACGGTGAAGGTTCTGTGACGGCACCGAGGGGAGATGAAAGTCCCGGCAACGCTGAAATAACGATGTGTTTGTTATTCTGAGGAACTCAGCCAAGCAATGGTCC